CTGATTTACAACCTCATCTGAATTGAACGTTATACCACGCAAGGAGTTTTGAAGAGAGCGAAACAAGTGGAAGTCTGACGGCGTAAGGTCAGGTGAGTATGGTGGGCGTGGCAACACATCCCATCCAAGCTCCAATAATTTTTGACGGGTGATCAAACTTGTGTGTAGTCTCGCGTTGTCGTGATGGAACACAACTCCTTTACGATTAACGAGCTCTGGACGTTTTTGGATTTGTTTAAACTATCCAATTACCGACACATTCGTCCAATTGCGTACACATTCGAATTGATTGTTTGGTTACTTGGTAGGAGCTCAAAAAACACGATATCTTTAAAATCCCACCACACTGAGAGCATAACCTTCCTCTGATGAATGTTTACTTTCGATGTCGATTGAGACAAATCATCACGTCGGGACCAAGACCGTTTGCGCACCACATTGTTGTAAACAATCCACTTCTCATCACCAGTTATCAGTCGCTTCAAAAAAGGATTGTTTTCCTCACGTTTAATGAGCATATCGCAGATGTTTATACGCGCCGTCAAGTGAATTTCTTTGAGTTCATAAGGAACCTAGATATCGAGCTTGCTTACGTATCCTAACTTCTTCAGATGGTCGTGAACGCTTGAATGATGGATGTTCAATATATCTGCAATCTCTCGTATCGTGTAACGTGGGTTTGACTCGATCAATGCCTTTATTTTGTCGTCATCAACCTCGATAGGCCTCTCTGACCGAGGAGCGTCTTTGAGATCAAAATCACCAGCACGGAATTTCGTGAACCATCGTTGGCACTGACGTTCTTGTACAGCATTGTCACCATAAACTTTACGCAACTTTTCACAAGCTTGACGCGCGTTCTTCTCTTTATGGAAGTAAAATAGTAATATATGACGAAAATGCACAATTTGGTCTTCCATCTTCAACTTGTTATAAAATTTCCAAAACTCAACCAAATCGTTCAATTTTTTTTTTTTTGAAGCTAGAACTGTCAGCTGTCAAATGACATAGCAATAACATAAATGCGAATGACTCTAATACTTCCGAAAATGAACTAGCGCCGTCTGTTGCAAAAATGTGTCATGACTTTTCCGAGAATCCAATAGTATAATCGTAATATGCAATATATTATAACTACATTATAACTAAGACTAACTTTGAAAAAAACAACGAATTAAGATTGGTCAATAAAAGTTGTTGATGCAACTCACCTTTTTGTCACCTTCTCACGATTAATATTATCCCAGTGAGCACGAGATCATTGATAGAACTTTCTTGCAACGATAGCATATAACGTTTTCTAATATATAATTTTTAACATTATATCACTATAATTACGGGGAGCTTCGATACTTTGATATTTTGAGACAGTTTTTAAAATATTCAAATTGATCATATTACCCAGTAATATCTTTGAGAAATTAAAAAAAGAACATTAAATAGAAACGTTCAAAAAGTACACATAAATATAATTAACACTTTAAAATATGTTGATTTAATATTTTTTGTTCACTGGAATATATATCGTTACAGAATTGAAAATTTTATTTTTATGTTTAGACATTATCTTCCTTAAATGTTAGAAAGGAGAATACAGTAACAGTAGGCACGGTGTAAAGAGATTGAAGATAAAGCATTTACTTTCATTCCCAAAATATGGCATTTTGCGTTTCAAAATTGTATTGGTTGGCGCACTAATCCCTGAAATCTAAAGCTGCGATTGTAAACCAATAGTGAGACATAAGACTGCTTCATAATATTTTGGTGTACAAGAGTACGTAAATTAGCACTTATGCGAGTCAGCGGCAGTCGTTCTTGAATAATGAATTTGGACCCTTTCTTTGGAAGAAGAGAACTGGCTTGATTGTTGAACTGGCACCGATATTTCTATATATTTGCCGTAGAAGGGCAAATATCATTCGCCAATCGCACGCCAACATTAGTTGCTTCGCCGACATGTGGGTATACGAATGATTGGAAACACATGATCGCGTTACATCATTGCGCTATCGCTTCGTTCTAGACATGAGAAAAGGAAGAATAACGAGAGAACAAATGTAAAATATTCTCTTGAGTATACTATACATACACGGTTGTCGGTAAGCAGTTGGAAGAAATAATAAACTGGAATGGTGTAAAATAAATTCAATGTGAGCGAGTGATAAATTAAAGACGACGCTTCCTTTCCACGCTCTCGGACAAGATTCTTTCGCACACGAGTTATCGATTCGCAAAACTATCATTCCGCAAAATTCATATAATGAAGCTATTTCTGCGCTAGAATAAGAAACAAAAGTCTATGACGTACTAGAGTTACTTAGTTACGTAGCAAAACGAACATGCTTGTCACTGAGGCCCATGGTCACGTGTCCAAAAAGAGGAATTCGCTTTCAGATAATAGTACCTCTAAATCGGAAGGTACGGTATGTAAGTCGGAGTTTGCTGGCTCTGGCAGATCACTGCCGCTATTCCCTATGCCGGTAGGGACGATTTGTCGAGCTCTACCTATTCTGACTCTGTCCTTTCTCTTGACCCCCGTTCTTAGGAGAACGCCGGTTCTTGGTAGTTTTGCTGCCGTCCTACCGATGTTGGTGTGATTCGTCGTTGCAGCGCCCGATGAAACAATCGCCTGCGGAGCTTGCGCTACTTTATCGGACTTACGTAATTTCACGCTAAAACGAAATGGTGGTTTGTATACTACTTGAAGTCTTGCACGTTCCTTTCTGGTAATACTTGAACCGGACGACAAGTTCTTCGACTCTCTAACTTCTGCACCAGGGCGGCGTGTGGATGAAGCTTGCTTCGACACAGACGTCCTGACGCCGACTGCACCACCAGCTGTCAAACCCACTGGGGTTGACTTGCTCTTCGGTAAGCCGATTGCGTTAGTCCTCATCGTTTCTGATGGTCTGCATTGTGAGGACGCCAGTAACCAGGAGCGCACTTTACTCTTGGGATCAGTGTTGGGCTCAGGATCCTTCTCCGTCTGAATTGCTGAGTAATCGATCACTTCTTTTCTGTGATATTTCTTACGTTTCCGTTTATCATTGTCGCCATTGATAATGTTATTGCCTTGTGTTTGGTCTCTTATCGCAGACGTAATTTTCTTTCGTTTATTTTCTTGCGCGGCCGTTGGAGCCGTTTCAGCTGGTCTTTTGCGCACAAAATCATCTGCCGCTACACTAGTGGACGATCTTTTTGTCTGATTTTGTTGTTTCTTCTTTGCTATAATGTCCTTTAAACAAAAATTTTGATTTAAAATTTTAATCTAATATTATATATATACATTGTCGGCCAAAAATTTGAAATCACTTACTGATTTTTCATTAAAGCAAATTTTTTCCTATATTTTATTGTGATGTAGTATTGTTGCTTAAACTATGAACTCGTTTCTAAAATGAAAAAAAATATTAAAACTGTCCCAAATTCGTTTCTTTCATAAAGTTTCTTTATTGATTAATTTACATAGTGATTCCAAACTTTCGGTCGATGGTGTATTCAAGCAAAATATTAACAGAATATTGGCAAATTGACAACAAATTTGATCAAAATCCCAACTACAAAACTATAGCCATTAATGGCTACTTATTAATTTCGTATTCTGGTTACAAACTGCTGTAATATGTTTTAACGACAAATTGGCGACAGAAATGGAGCATGTGCTACTGCCAAATTGTATGCAAAAGGGTTTATTCGGTTTATGTTGACAGACCATTATCTCTGCTTAATTTCTACTGTCAATCTATTGGCATAACATATAAACAAACATTATCAGATTTATGGCGGCAGTTTGACAATATTGTCAGATAGAACAGATTGTGTGTGAGATTCATAGGCTTTCTGGCATCAAAAATTTATGGTAGATTCTGCTCAGATGTGTGTACTATCATTTAAGAATATAATATAGCCTTTATACTATATCGATATTATCATACATACTTAAAATGTCCGATAGAAAACGAAAAAAATGATTCTTTTCACTTTCAATTGTGCTTCTGATTCCTGATTTTCGTTAGTGAGTTAATATATTAATGATAAAAATTAAATGTAATGCCATTAAAATATTTGACATACCATATAACCATAAAAACCTATAAGATTTAGGAATAATTGTATATCATATTTTACGAGAATTTTAGGAATAATAAGATTTCATATCTTATAATAACATTCAAACAGAACTCTGTGCAATGCTATCCGAAATTAAAGAATTTAAAACTTACCATGCTTAAAATGTCCGATAGAAAGTAATTAAAAAAATTCTATCTAAACTAATCGGGTTTTTCGTTCGTGCTTTTCATAAACGACTTAATATATTACCGATAGAAGTTTAAGGTAGATTTTTTTATATATTCCGCATACCTTGCAAATGAAAACCAATAAGCGTTTTACGAAACATTGTATATCAATTGTTATAGGAATGTCACGAATAAGAACACATTGTTTTCTATAACAATACACTAACAAGGAGATGCAACAACCTGCTAAATCGATTTTTGAACGAGACATAGCACGTTCGCTAGCTGCGATGTTAAGCATCAACATCCTAATTAGGGATTAATTGTGCCAATGGGCCTTTGTTTGTGAGAAATTACAATATAAAGTTTGGGTTGATTATATCACGGATATGGCTAAAAATATGACTCCCATTCAGCGAGGCGGCGTGGCCGAGCAGACTGAAGCTTCCACATCGAAAATTTTTGAGCCGGAAGCGAGCGTTCGAAACCCGGCGACAAAAGTTATCCTTGTGTGGTGTTTTTTTTCTTACCTTAGGGCATGTAATTAATGTTTTTCGAATATGATACATTTGTTTTGCACATGTTTCATTTTTATGCTATTAATCAGGGGTAATTAGGGAAGTGTCAGGCTTGTTTAACGCAAACACGAATATAAACACTGTAACGATGCACACCTGCATCGTCACTACTCCGGCCCGACCGACAATCAGTCCGGCCGTGCACCGGCGCGTTGCGCCAACATAAG